CCACTGTATAAAAAGGAACGTTGTCGTTTGGAGGGTTTTATGGTTAATAGAATTAAGTTAAAATAATTTCAAAGTCCTACATCTCATTTAATTATTCATAGTGGTAATAATAATAATAATAATAACGATAAAAAAGGAAAGGAAAGAATGCTTTGGAAACGTATGTTTTATTGCACATTTTAATCGATGTATGTTTTACTAGTTTTTAATTCCTACCCTGAGAAATTATTTAAACTGAATTGAAAGCGCAGTCGATCTCTGGCTGAAATGTTGAGTCAACTTTTCTTTTTTCTATACTTCCAAAAATATGTTGTTTTTTTTTTTTGTTTTTTTTAAATGACCCACGTGTTCCACATGTGTTACTCCATAAGATCTTGGCGAAAGACTTATTTTTAACTTTAAATTGTGGTCCGGCATGGCCAGGTGGTTAGGGAGCTCGACTCGCAATCTACGGGTCGCGGGTTCGAATCCCCATTCCGCCAAACATATTCGCCCTTTAAGCCGTGGGGATGATATAATGTGACGGTCAATCCCACTATTCGTTGGTAAAAGAGTAGCCCAAGAGTTGGCGGTGGGTGGTGATGACTAGCTGCCTTCCCTCTAGTCCTACATTGCTAAATTAGGGACGGTTAGCGCAGATAGCCCTCGTGTAGCTTTGCGCGAAATTCAAAACAAACAAACGTAAAATTTTTCGTTCACATTGATAAACCGTTTCAGTACACACGACACGAAACCAGGGGTGTAATAAAACAGGGAAAAGTATGAACTGACAGATATTTATGGACTGAGATGACCTACATGGATGCTACTAAGTCCGATTACCCAACATCAAGCTTCTGAGGTCAATTTTAAACCACACTTCTTGACAAACTTTCCACTGACCTTTCAACTTTAACCAAAATAAAGACATCAGTATGTGGTCAAACTAGATCGTTGTGTTCTAGTTTATTAGATTAACGTTTGATTTCCAGATGTAGCTGAAAACTTGTGTGTTTATCAATTTCAAGTCCTTCTTTATTGTCTTGTTAATGGTACCAGAAGGTATGTCCAATATCATCCTAATGTTGTTGTTTTTTGTTGGAGGGGGAGTGTTCCCTTTCGTAACGTTAGCCTTCTCTTTGCAGTTGTAGCTCCAGAATGGCTGTACTTTTGGAGTCCTTTATGTCAAACCCTCCGCTTTCTGCGAATTCTTTGCATATTTTATTAATTTTTAATTCCCACCCTGATGAATTATATTTGAAAGTTTTATTCTTAACTACATGGCGACAATCGATCAAGTGGTTCGACAGTTATAAACGGACATAAGTATAAAGCATAGAAGACCTCAAGGATGATATAAAGGGTCAGATTCGAACGTTAAGAAAGAGACAAACGAATTTATTTTCGTTACGTAGACTTCGAACTATTTTCACCTAGTGAAATAAAAAAACGTCACAATATTATTTTCTGATATCGAATCACTATGTATCTCAGTGTTACTGCCCTCAGAGCAAGCCTAGTGTATTCGTCTATCGACTGTTCAGTTACAATCACTTTTACATTTTATCTTGTTACCTCTAAAGAAGGAGGTGGGGGTGAAAGGCATGTAAACCACAGATCAACAGCCTTTTATTGTTTAGTGTTTGGAATGTTCCAATTTCACGCTTTGACGTGCCTAACCTGCGCGTTAGTCTCAGGACTCCCACAGAAGGTGCAAAACTTGAGAAAATGAAGAGCAACTCCCCCGGATGGGTACCGCGTGCTTTCTTTCACAAATAACACCCCTTTTTGTCATTCACGAAACGTGCCGCCTGTAGTAGACTTGGGGTTTTCAAGCCAGGCGCACAGAAACCGTCGAAAATTGTCAAGACATCTTTTTTTACAGCAAACAAGGTCGATTGCCTGAAGCAAGGTAGAAAACAATATGTAACAAGAACAAGCGCCACGTAGTAGAATAATGTATAAACTACCATTATATACGTCACTTCTCTGACTTTAGTAATGACTTCATTGTGATTCGCTGGACTATCTCGTTTCAAAATAATTACAACTTTATCAGGCAGACGGTACTACTGCCTATGAAGGGATGACTCGGATTGTTCATCGAAATGGTATTTCAAGTATCTCCTCAATAAGTCATCAACCAATTTCACTGAGGTGACGGAGTATCCGCTTTTTTATAAGTAATATTAATGAGTAGTAATTTAAAACAGAAATCATAATTCTAGTATAAATGATGTTATCATTATCCCTTGAAGTTAGCTTTCTTACAGGAATTTGGAGTTGGAACCTCAATGTATTTAGAACTTGGTTATAAGTACAACCTTCCTGTATCTACTGAAACACTGCATTAAAAAAGACATCGGACAAACAAGTAAAGAAAAAGTTTTCAAAAAAGGAAGTAAATGTAGGGATGATGCAAATGCCATCCCTACTACCTTGTTGATTTTTTAGGATTAATATTAGCCATCCCTACATTTACTTCTTTTTCTGATAAAAAAAAAAGTCTTTACTTGTATATGTTGGGCAGGGAAAAAAAAATCAGTATTTATTTTATTTATATTTAAAAATTTTCGTTTAAAAGGTGAGATTTTGCATAATCAACAGCAATTGAAATTTGATATCAGGAAAAAAGAAGAAAAAAGTCATTGACACTTCACACTCAAACTTTCCGTTACATTATCTCTATAATTGTACATTATGTAGAGTATACAGTTGTCATTGACACTTCACACTCAAACTTTCCGTTACATTATCTCTATAATTGTACATTATGTAGAGTATACAGTTGTCATTGACACTTCACACTCAAACTTTCCGTTACATTATCTCTATAATTGTACATTATGTAGAGTATACAGTTGTCATTGACACTTCACACTCAAACTTTCCGTTACATTATCTCTATAATTGCATATTATGTAGAGTATACAGTTGTCATTGACACTTCACACT